GGGAGGGGAAGAGAAGAGGAGATTGAGGGGGGGTCTGCGCCCGGCGGGGGTCAAGGCAGCCCCCCCAGTTTGGGGTGTCCCCCTGTACCTGCACCAGGGTTCCACATGGGGGGAGACTCCGGGACCTGGGGGGGACACAGGGGGTGAGAAGGGACCCCCAAAACCGCCCCGCTGCCGTGGGGACAGCCCCGCCGGCACCCCCAGGAAACTGAGTCACGGCAGCTTTAGGAGGGGTCCGGTCCCCGGGATTTTGGGGTGCTCAGGGGCTGCGGGCGGGTTTTGGGGTGCACAGCGGGGTTTGGTGGTGCAGAAGGGGGTGCGCAGGCTGTGCAGGCGGGGTTTGGGGTGCCGGCGGATCTAGGGGTGCACAGGCGGATTTTGGGGCGCGGAAGCGGCTGCGGGCGGGGTTTGGGGTTGCAGGGGAGCTCTGAGGGGGCGCATGGGGGGGTTTTGAGCTGCAGGGGGGGGTCCTGGGGCTCCGCTCCCACCTTCGCTCCGGCCGCGGCCCCTCCCGGCAGGAAGCGGGGGCGGGGCTTGACATTGTCCCCTCCCCTCCCGCTTCCCGCCGCCTCCCCCCGCTCCCGCCCCGTGCCTCAGTTTCCCCGGACTCACCTGGCGGGGGGCGGCCCCCGGGCCGGGGTCCCCCGGGGTCGGTGCGGGCCCCGCGGCCAAACGCTGCAGCCGCTGCAGCGCCCGCTCGGCCGAGAGCCGCGCCTCGGGATCCGGGTCCCAGCAATCCTCCAGCAGCTCCGGCAGAGCCCCCCCGGGCTGCGGAACCCCCCCTGGGCTGAGCGGGGACCCCCCGGGCGGGGGAGACCCCCAAACCCAAGGGATCCCACCCGAACCCGTTCCTAACTCTAACCCGGTACTCTCAGCATCCTCGGGAAGCCGGGAAGGGACCCCGGGGCTACTCCAAACACACCCGGGCACCCAGGCGGGGAYCCCCTCTCGCACCCCCTGCATCCCCCGGGACCCCCGCGGGTTTTCTCAGCACCCCCGGCCCCTCCCGGGCACCCCGGGGCTCTGACCTGCGGGGCGCGGTGCCAGGCCGGCGGGATCAGCGGCCGCCGCCTCTCGTCCGCAGCCAAACGCCGGAGCTGCGCCCCGGTGGGGCTGGAGCCCAGCTCGGCCTCGTAAGCCAGGCGGAACGGCGGCACCGGGGCTCCTGCAGGGCGGCCAGGGGTCAGCGGGGCCGGGGAGCCGCGGGCAGAGCGGGGGGACACCCCCGGGGCGCTCACCGGGGCTCAGCGCCTGGCAGCGGGACAGGATCTCCCAGAGCAGCAGTGCCAGCGCGTAGACATCGGCCTGGCGCAGCGCCCGGCCCCACGCCCGCAGGTCAAGGCTCTCGTCCAGGATCTCGGGTGCCAGGTACCGCAGGGTGCCCGCCTGTGCCCGCCGGGGGTCCTGAGCTCAGGGGCACAGGGCCACCAGGGCCACCAGGGCCACCAGGGCCACCAGGTCCCCATGCCAGGGATGGGCTCATGCCGGCAGCACCCGGGTGCCACCTCCACCCCACGGCTGTCACCTTCTCTTCCCATGCCATCCCCAACCCCA